ATAGAATGTCAGAGGTGGAAGGGACCTTAGAATTAAAGAATGTTGGAACATGGAACATAGACAATCAGGAGATGGCAAGGAACTTCTTGTTGTTTGTCCTTCATTCTCCAAGAGGACCATGATGTTAAGAAGGTGATGCCATCACTTGCAAGTGAATTGGATTTAAGTGAGGCAGGGCTGTGTAAAGTCACCAGCCTCACTTTCTCCTCCAGAGCCACCTGGGTCCAGCGGCAAGATATAGATCAGTACGACTGGAGATGACTGCCTGGAAAGGAGCTGAGGACATAAAAGAGAGAAGATAAGAATCCAAAGAGACCTTAGAAGAGGAATTGCTAAAGCTGGAGGAAACCTCAGAAGTCACTAAGTCCAAATCCTACTTGAAGCACGAAACTCCTTTACTATCTTCCCCAGTGTTGACCTGTGTGACTTTAGATGAGCCACAGCTTCCCCACCATATGAGTTAAGAGCTGGAAAGGACTTTGGAGATTATCTACTCCAGCAACATCATTTTACAGAGGAGGAAACTGAGGCCTCAGAGGGAAGTAGCTGACCTATAGACACCCAGAGTAGAATTCAGGTCCTCTGACTACAGATTCTTTGGTTTTGCCATTCAGCCTACTTCAGTAGGGGAAAGAGTCTCCAAAACAAGGTATCAGAGTACAGAAAAGAGACTACAATTTGAGAAGGCCTTTGGACATCTGTGGTCTCCTTTACTTCTCATAAGAATAATAGCTAGGACTTAAATTGGCACTTTAAGGTTTGTACTTTACATTTATTATTTAATTTGATCCTCCCAACAACTCTGTGAGATCGATGCTATAATTAGCTCCATTCTACAGATGAGGAAACTGAGTTGAGGTTAGGAAGTGACCTGTCCAGTGTTACACAGCTAGTAAGTGTCTGAGACAGGATTTGAATTCCAGTCTCCTTGACTATAAGTCCATTGATCACTCTATCCACTATACCACCTAGCTACCTCATATACTTCCCTCCTCCTGGACCATCTTTAGCTCTTTCATTCACAAAGAAACATTTAGATACACAAACACACAAGCATCCTCACACAGCTTCAATCCCTTAGGCCAGTGCCCTCCAAACTTTTTACTTATGCATCAGGAAAACATTTTTGAGCCCTTCCCGATATATATTTATTTATAAATTACATACATGTACTTCTGTACTGATAGGTACATTATAAAGCTTACACCAAAATTTAAAGTGTGAGATAAAAATAAAACAATATTTGATCCTAGATTCAATTGGCAGCCAGCCACCAGAGTTTATTGAATGGGGGTGGGGTGGGTGACATAGTCAGACCTGGGCTTAAGGGAAGTCTCTTTTGGAAGCCATGGAAGATAGATTGGAGTGAGAAGAACCTTGAGACAGACAGATGAGTTGGGAGGCTGTTCCAAAAATTTAGATGAGAGGTGATAAGGGCCTGAGCTAGAGTGCTAGTTGAGGAGAGAGGGAACACAGATGGAAGAGATGTGGAGATTTAAAAAAAAAGCATTTGACAAGTGATTGGATATATGGAGTGAGTGAGAGGGAGGAGGCCAAGATGGCACTGAGATTGCAGACCTGGAGACTGGAAAAATGAAGGTTCCCTCCACAGTAATAGGAGAGTTCTGAAAAGGGCTGGATTTAGGGGATAAGATAATGTACCAAGATTGGCAATGCAAAGCATAATCCACTCATGCCCACTTACCCCATGCAACTCATTCTGTCCCACCAAGACTGGAGGTTGGGGGAGGGCAGGGCTTTTACTTAGGGCCACTGAAGCACATGGAGTTCCTTGAGGTCTGCCTGCCAAATTCAAGGTCCAGAGGGCTGACTGTGGGCCTCCTGGGCTGGGAGGAAAATTTGTCAATGCAATCACTTCAAGTGACAGGGGCCAGGGCTAGATTATAACAACCTTGAAGGCGAGGGGTGGGGGCAACATCAGCCATAGTGGTACAGCGGGAGAATGTTAAGTGATAATGGGTAAAGGGGGTAATTTAGTTGTGCTTGTCAAAAGTTCATGACTGGCTGTCTCTAAGACTGGAATTTAGCCTCTTTTCCCATCCTCTGATTGACTGATGGCCACCCATTCCTTGTGGTCATGTCATGCTTTCCTGGGGTACACAGCCCCCATGTAGGAGACTACTGCCCTACACTCCTGAGTCTCAGTGGTCCTGAACCCCATTTTTCCCTTGGGAGTGGGGATCACCAGCCTCGATACTGCCCTTTCTCAAAGCCTCTGCCCTGGACATCACCCCAGGGGTGAGTCAGGACCCTGGGAGTATGTCAAATTTTCATTTTTTTCTATCTTCCACTGCTATTGATCCCAGTGTTTCCTCATGGCATGGAGGTGACTCTGAATTGTAGACGACTCCTCCAGGGAAGCATTGTGTGGATCTGCAAAGACCCGGAGGCTGAGTGTCTGTCAGTTGAGGACCAGAGAGGTTAATTTTTGGTCACTGCAACTCTTCCTAACTTCCTCATTTCTGTAGGGGGCATCGCCATTCTTCCAGTGGCCCAAGTTCTAACTCAGGGAATCATCCTTGACCCTTCACTCTCTCTCACCACCACCACCACCCCTTCAAGACCAGTACTCGTCAGGTCTTACTGATTCCACATCCTCAACATCTCTAGAATCCATCGCCTTTTCTCTACACATACCCTGCCCACCTTCATCCAGGCCCTCAGCACCTCTAACTGATGCTACAGCAAGAGCCTCCTCCTGGTCTCCCTCCAGCCTAACCTCTGCACAATATTCCCAAGGTAGAGATCTGAATACGCCACTTCTGTGCCTCAAGAAACTGCAGATGATCCCCATTACCCTTAGGATAAAATACAACCTCCTCTGGCTTTTGAAGTCCTTTATAATCTGGTTCCTGCCTATCTTTCCATGCTGATTACATAGTATCTCCCCCCTCACTTACTCTACAATCAAGCTAACTTGACCCACTTGCTCTTCTCCATATGTAGCATTCCATTTCTCACCTCCACATTTGCATGAGCTGTCCCCCTTAACTGAAATACTCTCTATTCTACCCTCTGACCCTTGGAACTCCTAGTTCTCTTGAAAGCTCAGCTCACTTTGACACCTCCTTCCAGCCTCTCATGAAGCCAGCGGCCCCCACTAACTCACTATTTCTTTTGTATATATCTTGTATGTATTTTCTAGTAGGATATAAGCTTCTCAAGGGCACAGACTCCCTGGAGTGGGTACTGATTGATTGATTGATTGATTGATGAATAACATTTGCTAAGGCAAGGAAGAGTTTCAACCTGCTTCAGTGAAAGAGAAGGACACACACTAATGAGATCCTACATTCGTGAAGTACTTTGCCCCAGACAGTAGTAGAGTCAGAGATGGGGCAGAACCTGTCCCCCCCCTTATCATTATCCCTTCCTTCTTCACCAAAAGGTTGGGAGTGGGGGATTAACATCAGGTCAAAAGAGGCACTTGGTTTAGGCTCCCCATATTTAGGTATCCCCAAAACTCCATTTGGAATGTGTGTATATTGGGGGTAGGGGGGGCTGGTCAGAGGATGGTTCTCCTGCTAAGCTCCCCTCCCCAGTTTCACTTGTAATGTCTCCATCTCCATGGAGATAGATGACACACAACCCTACTGGGTTAGATTCATCCTGAGTTTGAAGTCATGTAAAAGGATTGAGGGAGTAAGTGAAGAGTCCTATTCCATCCAACACAGGGAATCAGAAGGACTGGATGTAGGCAAGGAAGGACTCCTTCCCACAGGGTGGAAATGATGGGAATTAAGTCAAAGGTTCCCAGATATTCTCACCAACCACCCTGCTCATCTTCTAATTCTGTGAGTCCAAATAGTGTGTGCTTGAATCCAAGCCCTTCTACCTTTTCTCCCTTCTAATCTCATCTGTTCCCACCTTGGCTGAGCTCAACTCATGCATGTGACCACACACGTCTCTAGTGACTCCTATTACTATCCTCTCCGGCCATGGCAATGCTGATCTGCCTTCTTTGTCTTGCCAGCAGCTGGGACACAGTAACCTCACTTTAGGAAGCAGAGGCCAGGCCAAGACCCCTGCCTCATAGATTCATAGAATGTTAGAGCTGGAAGGGAGCTTAGAACACAGAATGTTAGAGGTGGAAGGGAGCTTGGAACATAGAATGTTAAAACATAAGACTCTTGGAGCTGGCAATTTCAAATACAGAATGTTACTCCTAGAAAAGATCCAAGACATAGAATGTTAGATGATAGAATGTCACAGCTGGAAAGAATCTCAGAAATCATGAAGCCTAAACCCTCACTTCATGGGCGAGAAAACTGAACCTCAGAGAAGGAGAGGTCATTTAGTGTCCAAGGAGCACTGAAATCTAGGTCATCTGATTCTAAGGTACTGTGTGTGTACTGTTCATGTTCAGTCATTTTCAGTCGTGTCTGACTCTTCGTGACCTCATTTGAGATTTTCTTGGCAAAGGTACTAGAATTATTTGCCATTTCCTTCTCCACCTCATTTTACAGATGAGGAAATTGAGGCAAACAGGGTTAAGTGACTTGCCCAAGGTCACACAGCTAGTGTGTGAGACCACATTTGAACTCAAGAACATGAGTCTTCCTGACTTCAATCTGGCACTCTACTGAGCCACCTAGCGCCCACTGTGTGCACTACCACAGTGCTTTGAGAGGGTGCTTCCTCAGTGTCCCTATCTGCTTTTTGAAAACCACTGATCCTGCTCCTTCTCATTTCTTTTGGTTCATTCTCCCTTCCCCTAACCCCCACACATGCATACACACACATGCACATGTACACGTGCACACATATGCACCTACGCACGCACATGTGCACAAAAACCCTTGGTAGAGAACTGGGAATATGCTATCTAGATCTGGTGATCTACATGTCTGTCTCTGCTGAGTTTTTACCCTCAGCCTTATCCACCACCCTCCGCCTTCCCTCAGTGCTTCAACCAAGGAGAGACGAGATTGTACTTCAAGCTTCAAAAGACAAAAGTAAAAACACTTCGAAACCAATTGCAAAATTTATTGGAGGAGGGCAGAAAGGTAGAGACCTTCCCATTGGGGAGGGGGAGACACTTAAGGGCACTTCTCGTTTTCCAGAAAGAGGACACTGTGTGTCTCCCATCCGCTGGTCACCAGCTCTTCAATGGGCTGCCCAGTTCAAAGTGGGGACTGAATCACAGACAGAGACTGACAGATGGGAAGGAAAAAACACCCATGCTCTTGAGCCAAGATTCACCAGGTTTGGGCAAATGGCAACAAGGAAGGCTCTAGGGGGAAAGGTCCCTGGTTCATCTATTCATGCACCATCTTATTCTGAGAGACTCTTGCCCCTTACCCCACCTAGACTGCCAGCCCATCCCTGGTGATGGGGATCCCTTAGGCAGATGGGGAAAGTGGGCAGGCGTGCTAAGGAACTGGAGCTGAGGACAGATCTACAAAGACTCTGGGCCACTGAGAGTGTAATACAGAAGAGGTGAGGAAGGCTTCAGGATGGGACCTGTGTTTGGGACAGAAAACGGGAAGGGCAGATGGACCAGTACCAGGCAAATGAGAACCCATTTTGCCCATAATGCCAAAGCATTATGATTGGCAGGTGCCAAAGTCCCCATTCCCCAACCCCTCACCTCAAAACAGCTTTTGCCTCCCCCAGCCCAGCAAAGGTGAACAGGTGCAGGCCACAAGCAGAGCTCCTTGGCAAAGTTTTCTTCCTGGGTGTCCACGAGAGAGAGAAGGGGCTGCCCTCTACCCTCCTCAATGGACCAGTGTATCTCCACTGAAACAGAGCACAGGCTCAAGATTTCTTTCACTTCATCCCCACATACAAATACACACAAAGCCATCCTGAGAACCCGCCTAGGGTCTGAACCACCCCTAAAGGAATAGAGTTCCCTTGAGGGATGAGGGTGGGCCAGAGATCCCAACCATTCTAAATCATGGAATCTCTCAGCTAGAAATTACCCCAGGTCATCTGGTCAGAGGATTCCCCCCTACCCATTCCCGAACATAAGTCCTCCCCACAATGTCCCCAACATGTTGGTCATTCAGACTTTGTGAAGTCCTCCAGTGTGGGGAATCCATTTGACATTTGGACAGCTCTGGAGGTAAGGATATTATTTCTTGGGTGGGTCCTAAATCTGTCATTCTGCAATTTCTACCCACTGCTCCTAGATCTGTCCTCTGAGGCCGGGAGAAATGAGTCTACTCTGGATAGCAGAACCCCAAATCCCTGTAATTAAAAGAACTTCAGGACAATTGCCCAATTGCATAATGAGGCTAGGGAAGAATGAAATGTTGGTTATGGGGATGTAACAGCACTGGGGGAGCTGGCGGTGGCTGCCAGCCCTTAACCCTTTCCCTTACTTCTTCTCACATCCTAGGATTGTCCCCAAATCTCTCCCACAGAGAGTTCCATCTCCCTCTCAAGGAGTGATAGAGATGGTTGGAGAGAGCAGACCTTTTCTGTAGCCTTGCAGATAATACCAGCCTGGATTTGCCAAATGAGAGGATGGAATGTGAATCGTATCCAATTCTTTTCTCTAAGGAAGATGGGGGCTTCCTGTGCCAGCCCGTCTCCAGGTTCCCTCTGTCCACCATTAGCCTCTGCCCAATGTGACTCACTCTTTTATTGCTAAAATAACAAGATCTATGCAATAGGGGCTGATCCCCACCCTACTTCTACTCATTCTATGCTCTTTTAAGGGTTCATGAGGAAATTGGAGAAATGCACGATGAGCTGCTGCTGTGGGCTTCCTCCCTGTCCTTTCAGTGGGGAGATGCTCTGCCTCGTCTTTTCCTCTCTCCCATCTTCTCCCTGCATCTAGGGGTATGTATCATAGAGTCCATGTCTGTCCCATGGGGAAGGTGAGACTAAGAAAAAAGGCCCCCTGCGAAGTTACACGCCGTCCCCTCTGACCCAGTCCCGTGCTTCAGCCTCTCAGCACAAAGATCAGGATGGAGTAGAGAGAATGCACCACCTCTCCCCTGAGAGCTCGGGTCTAGTGGTTGGCAGTCAGTCAGCTTAGCCACCCAGCCATTGGCTAAGTAGCTCTATAGAAGAAGAAAATGATAGGGCTAGAAAGGACCTTATTGATCATCTCACCCAACATCTCTTCATTTTACAGAGGTGGAAACTGAGGCACAGAGAGGGAAATTGACTTGCCCAAGGCCACACAGTGAGTTACCATTAGGGCCAGGACTAGACCTCAGGTCTCCAGACTTCAAGGTCAGAGCTCTTTCTATCACACTGACCTCTCCTAAGTAATTACCATAGAATCCTAGAGTTTAGAGCTGGAAGGGGTCTTAGAGATCATCTAGTCCAACCACTTCATTTTACAGAAAAGGAAAATGAGGCCTGGGGAGGGGAAATGACTTGCCCAAAATCACACAGGTAGCAAGTAGCAAAGCCAAGATTTGATCTCCCAGGACATCAGCCAGGTCAGGAAATACTCCGGCTTAACAGAGGCCTGGGAGTTGGAGGCACACATGGGCACATGTGCTCACACACGCATACATACACATACACACACACCAGGGGTCAGGTCCATACCCTCCCTCCCTGCTTTCCCAAACACTAGCCAGGGAGCATGTCCCTGGGAGGGTAAGGGTGGAGCAGTTCTGAGAAATAAGACCCACCAGGCTTGTGATAATAAAATAAATCATCTCCAGATATGGCCAAGGCCACCCCTCCCCTGCCCTGTGGCCTAGATCCCAGCTCCTCGGAGTCCCAGGGACTGGGCAGGGCCAGGCCAGAGGCTCAAGTCCGCTTGGCATGCAGCATCTCAATGAGCAGGTTGTTGCAGGGGACCTCCCCACCCAAGTGCTTGTGGTAGAGGTACTCCTCAGCCTGCATGCTGAGAGAGCGCACCTCAGCCAGGCGCAGGAGCAGCTGCCGGAACTTGTCGCCACAGTGCGGGTAATGGCACATGGTGTACTCCAGCAGGGCCGCGTTGGCCTTCTCCTGTGCATCCTTGGCCAGGCCGTGATTCTCTAGGAACTTCACATCTGTAGAGAAAGGCATATCATCAGCATCACCACTATTCCTGTCTCTTTCAGCTCATCTCCGGACTCATCCTTACTGCCTGGCCACCCTTGCCCCCATGCCCATCATCACCACTGGCACTGACTGTCAGCTTAGCCCAGGCATCATCCTTCTCTTCTCCATCCCCATTATTCATCAGCATAGGATAATGGGGGAAAAAAAACAATAAATTTGGAGCCAGAGGGCCTGGGTTCAAATCCTTGCCCTGCTACTTGGCCTTGGATAAATCACTTATCTTTCCTTTTCTGTGCCTCCTCTTTAAATGTGGTACAATGGACAACCATCCCCCAAATCAGGAAAATCTGGGTTCAAGGTCCCTTGCGCGCGCACGCGCACACACACACACACACACACACACACAGACTATGTCACCCTGGCCAAGTTAGTGCCCGGGCAATTCTCTAAGATTCTGAGTAGAAGTACTTTCTTCACCACAAAGCGACTTATATGATTGAAATCATGGGTTTTGTCCCTTTCCCTGCAAAATGATTAAAATGAACCAAGTGATGTCTAAGTTCCTTCCATGTCTAACAGAAAGATATAGACAAAATCTTTTGCAAGATCAGAGGAGGGAAAGATAATTATGATTTTAGTTAACATTTGTGTAGCACTTACTATGTGCTAAGCCCTTGACAATTATTATCACATTTGATCCTCACAACAACCCTGGGAGATAGGTACTATTATTATCCCCATTTCACAGATGAGGAAACTGAGGCAAACAGAGGTTCAGTGACTTGCCCAGAGTCACACAAATAGTAAGTGTCTGTGGCTGATTTTGAACTCAAGTCTTCTCCATTCGAGACCAAGCACCCTGTCCACTTCATCATTTAGCTGCCATAGTGAAAGATGACTTCTAACTGGTCAGATATGGGAAAGTTTCATGGAGAAGGTGATGTTTAAGCTGGATCTTTGGGGATCAGTAGGATTTCAATAGCTATAGACGGAGAGAGATGGAATGTCAGGCATGGAGGATAGAGTGAATAAAGACACAAATGCAGGAGAACATGGGGTATTTATGGGGGGACGATGTAGTCTCTTCTGGCCAAGAATAAAGTACATGGGATGGAGTTGCATTTGCTAAAGCTGGAAAGATCATAGAGTACTTTGAATACCCAACTAAGGAGTGCAGACTTTCTTCTGTAGGCTATAATAGAAAGCTATGGCCCTGCATAATCAAGTCTGTGCACCAGGAATATGGAGGTAGTATTTTATGAAGCACGGAATTGGAGGAGACAGCAACAGCATCACTAGTCCCCATCATCACCCTCAGGCATCAGCTGTTTCCCATATCCCTTTATCCCCATTCCTAGTGTCTATATCCCCATCATCACTATCTTCAGCATCTCTTTAAAGTCACTATGATCCCCATTCCCAGCATCCCCATGACCATCATCCCATCTCCATGGCCACCATCCCCACCCCCATTACTATCATTACAAAGTTCTGATAAAGCACCTGCTTGCTCTAAGGATTGTACAGACAAGATACTTCAGCCCCTGAGGTCTGGGAGTTCACAATTGGAGACATATACATTCCTGTACAAACTCCCATGGAAAGGATGCCCAGGACCTCCTAGTATAAATGTGCCATAGGTGAAAGGGAATGGGATTCAGAATCTAAAGGCCTGGGTTTGGGTCCAGACCCTGTCAGCTTGGACTGGTCACTTCCTCCTTCAGTTACTTGGCTTCCTCTTCCGGGGATCTGGGGATGACACAGGACTTGCCCTCCATCCCTCACAGGGTCGTGGTGGGAAAATATACTTTGGAAATCTTTAAAAAGGCTAGAGAAACATGAACTATGACTATCTCTGACCAGCAGTCATTCAGCTTTCAATTAAGGAGCTCCAATGATGAAGCTTATTAACCATAGCCTGAGGTGGCCCATTTCACTTTTGGAAAGCGCCCAGCTTAGGAAGTTTGTTTTTTTTTTTTTAAGATAAGCTAAGTTCTACCTCCCAGTTACATAAATTCAATGCTCTTTCTTCTAGTCTCAAGTCCATAAACAACCCTTTGATTTCTTGAAGACAGTGATTCTGGTCGCCCTAAGTCTTTCATTCTCTGAGCAAAAGATCCCAGCTCCACCTGTTGAAAACTTTTTTCCTGATAGGCTCAGCAAAGGTTTTACCTCCTTTAGGAAGCCATTCTGATCCACCTCTCTTCCACCACCACCAACCCCCACCCCACACAGCTGAAAGGATCTCTCTCTCTCACCTCAGATTTTGCTAGAGCACTCGGTATGGATTGCTCCTTTACTCTCATCCCATTTTGGAGACAGCCCAGGACCTTGAACCCAAGAGCCCTGGGAAAAGCTTAGCTTACCAGTCCTGTTTCCAGCCTGGCCCCCACAGCCATCATTGAGGGGAACCATCCCTATGGAGAAAAGTCCCACCATCCCCTCCCCACCCAACCACTGACCAAGTGCCAATGAAGGGCAGGTCAGCCCCCGGCAGCTGCCTTTGCAGGTCTAGGCAGCCTTGCCTGCCTGGCTACTGAGGACCCAGAAAAAAAAAAGTCTTCACCACCAAAGACCTTGGCACCATCAGCAGAAATCATAAGCAGATATGATTTTATCAATGAAAACGACATTTAAGAGGATGTGTCACCATCGGCTTTGCTGCTGCACCCTAAGGAGTGTGGGGCCTTTCCATCTGACTTGTAGCTGAAACCTCCTCAAGGTGTCATCACAGTGCTTTGCACATAGGAAGAGAGGAATAAATGCTTTTTCATTCATTTATCATGTTTTACCTTGCATCATACTTATTTGTGCACATGGTACATCCTTCTTAATAGACTGTAAGCTCCCTGAGGGCAAAGATCATATAATTTCTTATCTTTATATTCCCAGAACCAAATATAGGGCCCTTGCACATAGTAGACACTGAAAAATGTCTTCTGGAGGAAATGAATTGTAGAACAAGTAGAAAGTGGAAAAGGAAGGGAATAAGAATTTATATAGGGCCTGCTATGTGCCAGGCACTGTGTGATAAGCTCTTTTTACAAATATCTCATTTGATCCTATCAACAACCCTGCAAGGCAGGTGCTATTGTTACCCAATTTATAGTTGAGGAAACTGAGGCAAACCGAAGTTAAGTGACTTGCCCAGGGTCACACAGCTAGTAAGTGTCTGAGGCCGAATTTGAATCCCTGGTCTCTACCCATTGCACTACCAGGTAGAATGATGACCTGGAATGAGCAATGAATGCATAGTCAGAGGAACTGACCTTAAATTACAGCCACGCGCTTACTACATGTGTGTTTTGGCAAGTCATTTGCCTGCTCTGGGCTTTTTAGTCTCCTTATCTGGAAAAAAAAAAAGGAAGAAATTGAACTAGATGACCATTCTGTGTTCTAAGATTCCTTCCAGCACTAACATTCTATGTTCTAAAGCTCTTTCCAACTCTAGAGCCCATGATCAGGTGTGTTTTCATCTCTGCTTTATGTTTACGTCCCTCCTGGTGAACTTGAGGGGTGGGGGAGGAGAGGAAGGGAGAGTGTGGGGAGCCTGAACCTCTCAGATGGAATCGGCCTGGTCTCTGCCCCTCAGGAAAAGCTCCAATTCTAATCCCCCTAACACTCAGGTGCGCTGAAGAGGCCCAGAGAGCTCAACGATCATGGAAACCCTGATCCCCCTGCCCGCCCACAACGCCTGCCTAAGGCCCTTGGCGTCCACAACAGCTTTCAGGGAAATGTGATCCGGAGCAATCCGAGGCTAAGGTGCCCCCAGATCCTGATCCCTGTATCGCCCCCGTCCCCATGAGTGCGCATGCACACACACACACACACACATACACACACACACACACACACACTCTAGTTTAGCCCTAGGGCCCAACACCCCCCAAGCAAGAAAGGAGGCTCTCACAGCATTAACCAGCAGCTCAGGGTACTGGGGACCCCTCCCACCCTAAGAAATTGCTGGTGAGTATATGTTATTAAGTTAAAATTAAACTATAAAATTAAATGATTATTAATCTCATCTAAGATTTAGTAATAAAATTTTAAAAATAAAGATAGGACTGGGCACGTAATCTCTTGAGTCTTCAGTTTTTTTATCTGTAAAATGATGGGACATGAGTCAGGGGATCTAGGTCTGAATCCCTGTTCTGACACTATGTAACCTAGACTAAGCATAAGGACAACCAGGAGGCTCAGTGGATCGAGTGCTGGGCCTGGAGTTGAAATCTGGCCTCAACACGCACTGGCTGTGTGACCCTGGGCAAGTCACTTCACCCTGTTTGCCTCAGTTTCCTCGCCTGTAAAATGAGCCAAAGAAGAAAATGGCAAACCACTCCAGTGTCTCGGCCAAAAAAAAAAAACAAAACCCAAGTGGGGTCATGAAAAGCCAGACGCAACTGAAAAAGTCTGAACAACAACAACAACAAAAAGCCAAACGTAAGGAATGGGATTTGCGGACTTTAGACCTCTCCATAAATGGGAGTGGACATTATTAATATATATAATCCAGTGTGTGATTCAGTTCTGTATTGATACGCATAATTCAGTTCACAGGAGGTGTGATATTGTGGAAAGAGTGCCAGAATACGCCTGAAGACCTAAGTTCTTCTACTCGCTGCATGACCTTGGGCAAGTCAATTCCCCTCCATGCTGAAGTGTCCCCGCTGGTAAAATGAGGAGCTGAAGGAGGCAGCCGTGAACCTGGAGCTTGAACTGGTGTCATAGGGCCTGAGCTTACATCGTGGTCTGCTACTTACTACCTGCTTGACCTTGGGTCAGTCACTTAACATCACTGAGCCTCGGTTTATTCCTTCACTCAGAGGCAGTGGCTGCCTTGTAGCCACTTGTATAGGTGCCTGCCAGCCCTAGAGTGACGATCCTGTGCATCTCCTCGATCCGTGGGCTCCCTCCTGCAGGGCTGTAGGAAGACAGCGTCATGAGCTCCACTGACTAAGATAGCCCCTCACCCGTCGAGCTCTCTGCCCTCATCAAGGCTGATGCTCAG